CTGCCTAGTATTGCCAAACAGACGCAGATTTTGCATCTATTTAAAAATATGTTATTATTGGTGAACAAGGAACAGTACAGATGTTTGTGTCATTGTTCAGTTTTTTTAAGAAGTGAATATATACTTTAAGGAAAAATAGCCTAATAAAGAAAATAAAGCAACCAATTTGTTGCGTCCTGCAGAGAGCTCATGTCATTCTCATGTCAGGCTGGTTAATATGAGAACCAGAAAAGACTCAATTTGACTCTTTTAAGTGAGGCTCAGTGACTCGGCTGCTGACAGGTTTTTCTGCACAGACCTAAGAAGAGTCAATCTTTAAATAAAAATAAAAAACATTAAACATGATTTTAAATTATAATTCATAGCAAACTGATCATATAGTTTCAAGCTTTTCCAGAGGTGCTATATTACTGGATTTATTTAGATGTTTTAAAATAATAAATAATCCCATCTCATCTGCAGACTCTTGTCATGATGCCAATACTGATTTTGGTCTTTTACATCAGTCAAACAGAGCCCTTATATGTGCTGCAGATTTTTTTGTTTTTAGGCCAACTTTTGAGCTGATATAGCCTTTATTCCCCCCTCCATTTACACCAGGGTCCTCAGGAACCCATTGTCCTTCATGTTTTAGACGAGTCTCCAACCAGTCACACCAGATTGAAATGATTGTATTACCTCCTTGGCAGCCATCAAATGCGGCATAAGCTAGTTAATCCCCTTTTTATTCAGGTCAGGTGTGTGGAGGCAGGGAAACACCTAAAACATGCTGGACAATGGGTTCATCAGGGTGTCGGCATGACACAATAAAAATTACATAATGAAAACAAATGTTATGCAAGTTTTAATTTAAATAAAGAGATAGCTTTGCTAACTAATCAAAGGGAACAAGAATTAAGGATAAAAAAGAGGGAGTGGCAGTGAAACATTTCATATGATCTCATGTTTAAATACATGAATGCAGTGGTTTTCAAAGTACTGCTACCCTGCATGTTTTAGGCGTCTCCTCGCTGCCAAACCGGATTTAAAGCAAACATCTATGGAAGCAATATTGT